TCGTTTCTCGGTTGTAGAGGGCCAGCAGAGGTTCCTCCGACCACCACAAATCTGGCAAAACGACTAGAGTGGTACTCGGGACGGGATGAGGATGACATGTACCTTGGATGCAACATGGCTCAAGCTTTACAGTAAAAGCTTTCAAAACAATAACTATGGCGACTTTTTAAGAAAACCTTGGGTGTTCACAGGATTTTTTAGACACAAAGAAAGAGGTTCAATCTATAAGTCAAAAGGGAAGGCTATCAAAGGAATTTAGAGCATAAGCTTTTGTATATTTTATTTGTGTAGTAGCCAACATAGGAAAAAAGAAGACATGAAATATATATATATATATATATATATATATATATATATATATATATATATATATATATATATATATATATATATATATATATGGTGAGCTTCAATAGAGAACCATAATTAACCAATGAACCTAGGAACGAATCTTTTTTTTAACTTTTAGAACTTATTTTTTAATAAAAAAAAAACTAAAAATACTGAAATTCATAACTTTTTATCCTTTTTCCAATGATATAAAATTCAAATTTTTTTTACGTCAAATTCACAATGTGAATCTTTGAAAATTCACAACGTGAATCCAAAAAATATTTTTCACATTCACAATGTTAATATATGAATTTAGATATTTGAAGATTTTTTTTAGATAAAGAATAAGCTCTAGAAATTGAAAAAAAGATTTGGTTCCTTGAATAACCAATAATTATGGCTCTCTAATGAACTTTTCCATATATATATATATATATATATATATATATATATATATATATATATATATATATATATATATATATATATATATATATATATATTCCTTTTAAACTGTTAATATTCCCTTTTATTTTTATTTATTATATTTTTATTGTCACTCTTTGAATATTATTATTAGTATTATTATTATTATTATTATTATTATTATTAAACAAGTAGAAATAAATTCGTACCTAAAATCTAAACAGGTCTTACGAAGGATCATTTATATAATTTACTCTAAGTGTTGCTTTTATTCCAACATATTTATGTGGGTAAATAGCAAAAAAAGCACTCATTTACAAAGAAGTTCGAATTTGACACCGTGTTTTTTGTCAATTTTGACATTGTGTTATTTTTTTTACTAAATTTAACCATGTGACTGGTTGCCTTCAGGTCAACTGGTTTGAATTTTGTTGACTGGACAATTTGCTTATGTAGCATCCACATAAGATCCTGCATGGCAGTTGATCCTTTTTAAATGATCCCTAACGGCCTCAACTATTTACAACGCTAGATCGATCTTCACTTTTTCATCTCAAATCTTACTCACGAGTATTGTACAATGGTTTCTTCGTCTCGGTTAGTTGGATCAATGAGTGGGGTAGGCAAGTCAAACAATGGTCCCTCTTGGACATGCTACTATGGAGTAATTGCCCCCTTGAAGTCACAACGACTGAGAAGAATCTTGGAAGAAGATACTTTGGGTGTAGGTATTGGTCGGATGAAGTTGAAGACTGTGGCTACTTTGAATGGTATGATGGTGAAGTAAGTCCATGGTACAAGGATCTTTTGCTTGAAGTTATGGCAAAGAAGAAAAAAAAACATTGGACTGGGAAAACAGAACCCTCATCATTGTGAAATATGTTTGATGAATCTTGTTAGGGTTGTGATTGGTTTGCTTGTTATTTTAGTAGTCATGGTAGAGATTTTGGTTTGGATGGTGTACAAGGGATAAGTCGGAAGAAGTTGTGGTAGGTCTTTAAGTATGAATTAATGTCGATTAAGGTCCAATGCTAACCATTTTTGTGTATATGTATTGATGTACTACCTACAAGTTTGTATGTTCCAATGTTGACCAATTCTGATATATATAGTGAAGTGTATATGTTTATGATAGTGAATTGGAAGTAAGATGTTATATGATGCTAGTGGACCAAACCACCCTTTACTTATGTAACAATCTAGAGACTAAAAAAGAAAGATCCACACTACCCTTTAGTTATGTAACAAAATTACCAAATGAATTGAAAGGACCAAACTACCCTTTTGACCAAAATGATATGAAAAATACCAAAAAATATTAGATGATTAGTGGACCAAACTATCCTTTACTTATGTAACAAACTAGTAACCAAAAACGAAAGGACCAAACTACCGTTTACTTATGTAACAAAATTACCAAGTGAATTGAGAGGACCAAATACCATAAAAACCATACTAACATTACATAAATTCTAACCATCAAAATCCATACATTTTGCCAATATTGACCCATCCTATTTACAAAAAGGGTTGTAATGTTTGGGTATACCATATACAAAAGATAATTACAATTAACAGGACTACTAAATCGTACATTACATAATACAAAAAAGGCTAACATAAACCATGCCCAACAACCCATAACTTTCTGCACCCTAATCTACATCAAAGAAACAAGGTCCAACCTGGTCCGGTAACCTTCTTTCCGACAGCCTTCAATCCAGTCTAAATTTTAGTAATTCTCTTTGAAGTCCTCTTTGTTCTCATCAACCTTTGGGATGGTGGTGTTCTCAGCAATGCCTTCATCTTATGTTTTCGGTACAACATCAACTTGAGGTACAAGTGGAACTTCTTCAGGAACATGTTGAACTTTTTCAACCTCTAGAACTTCTTCATGCACAGGTTCAAGAATAGGTGGAACTTCAACATCTAAATGTTGTTCATATAGTACATGATACACCTCATCCTCTAACTATCTTTATGTAAGCAATTCTGTAGCATTTGCATCCCCCTTCAAATCATGGACCAACATAACATCTTGCAGCCCTTCATCTTCAAAGTCCTTGCAACTATCTTCATGAGTGTGTATAATATTTTGACTCTTTTGACTTTTGGATGTTGTTTTTTTTTCATTGCCACGTCCCTTGTCAGTGACCCACCCTTTCTTTTTCTTTTCCTTTGGAGGTTGGGGATTACTTGGATTCTTTCAGGGTCTTTTGTTATGCCTTTCTTTCCAATAGTTTTGGCATATCTTTGTTCCTCCAATAGACTTTATCTTCTTGTATTCTCTACCCTTCTCTGTGACGTGTTTCCTTCTTCTGGTTTTAGGTCTTCTTGGCATCCTCCTTTGCAGATGATGGTAGTGGTTTGGCATATGGTGTCCTGGCCCACATTTTACTACCATTTAGAGGCCTCATATTGCCTTTGTAAGTCTCTGCAAACTTCTCTTTGTAAAACCATGAATTGATCAGTGTTTTAGGTTATTATTGTGTGTGGTTCACAGATGCACATGCATGACACATGGAATCCCAGATATTTCCCACAATCTACAAGTGCAAAATTGTTCTCCTAAGTCCACCTGGAAAGACTCAAATCCTAGTCTCACTTCAAATAAATTTATGTCACTAGCTACAACACTCCACAAACCTGTAATTCATGCAATACATGTTAGTGAATATTAAATAATGTTACCTCATATCTTTACACCACTCATCCAGCTTTGTCAATATTCTAGGACATACATCTCCCTCTATGTTAAGTGTATTATATACATCCTATAAAACATCTCCATAACATACATTTTGATCTCCTCCAACATAGTAAGAAGTGGTTTGGTCCTTGCCTCTAGAATTACTGAATTAAAGCTCTCTGATATACCATTTTATACTACTTCACATGCTCTACCTTCCCTATAAAATGCTCTACTCCAACTCTCTAGGTTCCTTGTCATGAATCATTCATAAGCACTCCCATTCATTTCTTTGATTCCCTCCATTGTCTCAAGAAAAGATTACTCTGTGGTTGACATTGAAGCTGCCTAAAAATGTCTCTTGTAATCAATCCCATTGTATACATTTTTAAAGTTGACCTACACACGTCAGTCACACTGCGTATTGTAACATCCAAAAATACGACCCAAAATTTTTTGTTTTAATAATAATAACAATCATATACTGAACGTCATATCATAAAACCATACGTCAAATAACTCGAATCATAATAAAATGTCGTGAAACAACTGTATCAAATTAGACTATGTATCAAAACAAACTCCGAGGACAAAGACTGAAGTTCTGGTGTGTGCGATTCCATCATCCCGAGCTCTTCCCTTTACTTGAGGAAGTACCTGAAACCAAAACCGAAACTGTAAGCACGAAGATTAGTCATCTCCCCCAAAATACGACATATCATACAATACATATAAATAACATACTGGGCCTTGCCCATTGCATCGGACTGAAGTCCGGAGCTGACTGGGACCTTGTCTCCTGCATCGGACCGGTGTCCGGAACTAGCTGCATCGGACTGAAGTCCGAAACTGTATATATTTATGATAGTGAATTGGAAGTAAGATGTTATATGATGCTAGTGGACCAAACCACCCTTTACTTATGTAACAATCTAGTGACTAAAAAAGAAAGATCCACACTACCCTTTACTTATGTAACAAAATTACTAAATGAATTGAAAGGACCAAGCTACCCTTTTGCCCAAAATGATATGAAAAATACCAAAAAATATTATATGATGCTAATGGACCAAACTATCCTTTACTTATGTAACAAACTAGTAACCAAAAACGAAAGGACCAAACTACCATTTACTTATGTAACAAAATTACCAAGTGAATTGAGAGGACCAAATACCATAAAAACCATACTAACATTACATAAATTCTAACCATCAAAATCCATACATTTTGCCAATATTGACCCATCCTATTTACAAAAAGGGTTGTAATGTTTGGGTATACCATATACAAAAGATAATTACAATTAACAGGACTACTAAATGGTACATTACATAATACAAAAAAGGCTAACATAAACCATGCCCAACAACCCATAACTTTCTGCACCCTAATCTACATCAAAGAAACAAGGTCCAACCTGCTTCAACCTGGTCCGGTAACCTTCTTTCCGACAGCCTTCAATCCAGTCTAAATTTTAGTAATTCTCTTTGAAGTCCTCTTTGTTCTCATCAACCTTTGGGATGGTGGTGTTCTCAGCAATGCCTTCATCTTATGTTTCCGGTACAACATCAACTTGAGGTACAAGTGGAACTTCTTCAGGAACATGTTGAACTTTTTCAACCTCTAGAACTTCTTCATGCACAGGTTCAAGAATAGGTGGAACTTCAACATCTAAATGTTGTTCATATAGTACATGATACACCTCATCCTCTAAGTATCTTGATGTAAGCAATTCTGTAGCATTTGCATCCCCCTTCAAATCATGGACCAACATAACATCTTGCAGCCCTTCATCTTCAAAGTCCTTGCAACTATCTTCATGAGTGTGTATAATATTTTGATTCTTTTGACTTTTGGATGTTTTTTTTTTCATTGCCACATCCCTTGTCAGTGACCCACACTTTCTTTTCTTTTCCTTTGGAGGTTGGGGATTATTTGGATTCTTTCAGGTTCTTTTGTTATGCCCTTCTTTCCAATAGTTTTGGCATATCTTTGTTCCTCCAATAGACTTTATCTTCTTGTATTCTCTACCCTTCTCTGTGATGTGTTTCCTTCTTCTGGTTTTAGGTCTTCTTGGCATCCTCCTTTGCAGATGATGGTAGTGGTTTGGCATATGGTGTCCTGGCCCACATTTTACTACCATTTAGAGGCCTCATATTGCCTTTGTAAGTCTCTTCAAACTTCTCTTTGTAAAACCATGAACTGATTAGTGTTTTAGGTTATTGTTGTGTGTGGTTTACAGATGCACATGCATGGACACATGGAATCCCAGATATTTCCCACAATCTACATGTGCATAATTGTTCTCCTAAGTCCACCTGGAAAGACTCAAATCCTAGTCTCACTTCAAATACATTTATGTCACTAGCTACAACACTCCACAAACCTGTAATTCATGCAATACATGTTAGTGAATAACGTTAGTGAATATTAAATAATGTTACCTCATATCTTTACACCACTGATCCAGCTTTGTCAATATTGTAGGACATACATCTCCCCTCTATGTTAAGTGTATTATATACATCCTATAAAACATCTCCATAACATACATTTTGATCTCCTCCAACATAGTAAGAAGTGGTTTGGTCCTTTCCTCTAGAATTACTGAATTAAAGCTCTCTGATATACCATTTTATACTACTTCACATGCTCTACCTTCCCTATAAAATGCTCTACTCCAACTCTCTAGGTTCCTTGTCATGAATCATTCATAAGCACTCCCATTCATTTCTTTGATTCCCTCCATTGTCTCAAGAAAAGATGACTCTCTGGTTGACATTGAAGCTGCCTAAAAATGTCTCTTGTAATCAATCCCATTGTATACATTTTTAAAGTTGACATACACACGTCAGGCACACTGCCTATTGTAACATCCAAAATACGACCCAAAATTTTTTGTTTTAATAATAATAAATAATCAATACTGAACGTCATATCATAAAACCATACGTCAAATAACTCGAATCATAATAAAATGT